AAAATGGCTTTTGCCTTCATCTTTGAAATACTTTCCCAGTGCATTCTTTTTGGAGTTACTTAGGTTTCTGGCCTGTATCATTTCTTTTGTTTAGTGTCCATTCTCAGTGTTTTCATGATATGATGTCCTTAAAGGTGAGATGTCTTTTCCCCCAACTCAGTAGCTTTTAAGATTTACTTTCTTTTTTTTCTAACAGAGTCTCTCTATGTAGCCCAGGCTGGCCTAGAACTCCTAATCCTCCTGCTTCGGCATCCAGAGCAGCTGGAGCTAGAAGCTTTGCTTTGTGGCAGTGGACATATACTTCATTTTGTCTTCCCAAAGTCCGTATGTTGAAGTCCTAACCCCAAAGTGACTGCATTTGGAAATAGGGGACTAGTTATGACCACCAAGCCAACTAAAACTGCAGCTGAGTTCAGCATGACTAGGGTAACTATTCTACCTGGAGTCTGGAGAACTGATGGGATCTGAGGCTTGACAGCTTTTCGTCAGCTTTGGGGCATTCTTAGGCAATGCATTCTGCCAAATTCCCCCTCGCTGTTTCCTTCTGTATACAACAGAACTCAACCTGATTTGGGGCCAGGGAAGGGCTGTGGGGGTGAGGTTACCGCTAAGACCTTCTATTCGATGGTGGAGCCAAGCAGGGAGAGGAGGCATTGACATTCTGAATAATAAAACCTCATGTGTCCTAGAACCAGGTCCATTTGAAGAACTTTTAAAAATCAGCACATAGTGTCTGGAGTGAGAGGCAGGAGTTCTAAAGAGACAGGAGAGGAAAGGAAAGGCCCTGCTGGGGTGGGCTTCATAGGTGTGTTAGAGACATTGGGTTTCATCTTGGGACTGCTCAGCACTGTTACTTTATAAATGCTATTTAAAGCGATAATTCCAGGTGTGGTGGCACATACCTGTAACCTCAGCACTCAGGGGGCAGAGGCAGGCAGATCTCTGTGTATGTGCAAGGCCAGCCTGGTCTGCAGTTCCATGCCAGCCAGAGCTACATAGTAAGAGTCCGTCTTTAAAAGTGAATGAACAGAACAGAATAGGGACCCGTTCTGAGAATTCACACTGAAGCCAAACCAGTGCTAGGTGCCCACTTCCAGTCACGGACTCCGGTTGAGACCTTACCCTACCTAGCCTGCATTTCCTCCAGAGCTCGAAGTAACCAGGAAGTCATCTGGGCAAGCTGGAGAGCAGGCACAGTGAGAGGACATGCGTTAGGACGGCCACCTTCCGTTCTCTGCAAAAAGGGAGCCGCTGTTGCCACCATTTCTCAGTCCCCGATAACGTAATCTGTCCCACAGCTGTGCCCCGCCTTGGCATGTCTTCCTGTGAGACCAGAAGAGAAGTCCACATTGCCCAGAGAGCCAAAATTCTGTCCTGGACTTCCTGGCTTCTGCTTCCTCCAAACTGCTTGCAGTTTGGCCAGGTGGTTCTCTACCAACCAAGCAGCTCTTGAGGGTTTTCAAAGAGGGATCTCTAAAAAAATGTTTAAAGCCAAGCGTCGTAGCGCATGCCTTTAACCCGAATGTCAGAAGGCAGAGGTAGGAAGATGTGAGTTCTAGGTCAGCCTCATCTACATAAGTGAGTTCTAGGCCAGCCTCCTCTACATAAGTGAGTTTTAGGCCAGCCTCCTCTACATAAGTGAGTTCTAGGCCAGCCTCCTCTACATAAGTGAGTTCTAGGCCAGCCTCATCTACATAAGTGAGTTCTAGGTCAGTGTCATCTACATAAGTGAGTTCTAGACCAGCCTCATCTACATAAGTGAGTTCTAGACCAGCCTCATCTACATAAGTGAGTTCTAGACCAGCCTCATCTACATAAGTGAGTTCTAGGCCAGCCTCATCTATATAAGTGAGTTCCAGGCCAGCTAGGGCTATGTAAGTAGGACCTGGTCTTGGGGGGAAAATGCTGAGCAATCTCTGCCTTCATTGGTGGGTATGAAGTTAGTTAAGATAACCTTGTAAGCTTTACTCAAGTCCTTGGTATTTTGTCTTCATATTTTGGTTTGCTCTCTTTCCAGCCAAGGGAGCAACCAGCAGAGGTTTCCAGAAACTTGAAACCTTAGATCTTTCACTGAATCACAAGATTACAGAGGAAGGGTACAGACATTTCTTTCAAGCCCTGGACAACCTGCCAAACTTAAAAGTACTCAACATTTCCAGGCATCTCCCAGAATCCATCCAAGTTCAAGCCACCACTGTCAAGGCTCTGGGTCAGTGTGTGTCCCGACTGCCCAGCCTCATCAGGCTTCATATGCTCAGTTGGCTCCTGGACAAAGAGGACATGAAAGTGATTAATGCTGTGAAGGAGAGACACCCTCAGTCCAAATGCTTGATTGTTCACTGGCAGTGGGTAGTGCCCTTCTCTCCTGTCATTCAGAAGTGAAGGATGCAGCTGAAGATTACTGGAGGTCTCAAAACCCAATTTTCGAATACATTTCACTCTAGACAAGCATGGTGTCCCCAGTACTTAAGAGACTGAGACAGGAGGGTCAAGAGGTTGAGTCCAGCTGGGTTACATAACAAGACCTGCTGATGAACCAAATCCTTTACTATTACATACACAAGAATATTCTTAACCTGTCAGGCTGGTAACTGTTGGAAAGCCTGCACGCCCACATTGAGCTATGACAAGCAGTCCTTGGCAATCCTCGTATGGTCCTGTCTAAAGACTAGAGCCTCACTCAAGTTCATACCGAGAATCCTCCATTGCCAAGGTCAACAGGAAGGGTCAGAGAAAAGAACACTGATCTATGTAAAAGCCATAAGGAAGGAGCATTTGATGGAGGTAAGAAATGGCCAATTTAAGGATGAGTCCATCCCACCCATGATGAAGCACGAGTCGACTTTAGCACAGGATGCAGACAACTCTTTGCAGAGATGCTCTTTAGTCTTTGCAGGGCTTCTGTATAGTCACCAGTCTTGGTGTGGCCATGCTTGCTCACACCATCTCCCATCCATTGCCAATGTGAGGAAGAAAGTGGGCTTAGAGAAATCTGCTTTTGTTCCAGAGGCTTTTGAGAGTTACATATATTATGACAGCTTTATAATTTTGTTGGGAATCCAGTCCGTTTTATGTGATTTAATCTTGTAAGGATTCCTGGGTATATTAACTTGATTGTGATAATTGTCATTCCATACTGGTCACTGCTCTAGAGGTGGTAGGACCTGGGAGAATGGAGTCAATAAATGAAGCCGACTACAATCTCATGCAATAGCCAGCTTTATTCAGAGCATCAGACAATTTATACTCTGGGGGTTAAGGGAGGTCACCTAAGTAAAGTTCTCTTGTGTTCAAGTTGTAGACAATCACAAAAACAAGCCGCATGTGGCAAAACATGTTTTTCTATAGAACAGCATTTCTCAACTTGTTGGTCAAGACCACTGGGGGTCAAATGACCCCTTCATAGGGGTCACCTAGGACCATCAGAAAACACAGATATTTACATTACAATTTGTAACAGTAGCAAAACTACAGTTATGAAGTAGCAACAAAAATAATTTTATGAGCTGGGCGGTGGTGGCGCACGCCTTTAATCCCAGCACTCGGGAGGCAGAGCCAGGTGGATCTCTGTGAGTTCGAGGCCAGCCTGGGCTACCAAGTGAGTTCCAGGAGGCCAGACTCAGAGAAACCCTGTCTCAAAAAACCAAAAAAAAAAAAAAAAAAAAAAAAATTATGATTTAGGGGGTCACAACATGAGGAACTGTATTAAAGGACTGAAACATTAGGAAGGCTGAGAACCTCTCTAAAGAGGCAAATAAAGGATAATTTAAGCATTTAATTGAGTAACAACAGCAAGCAATAATGAGTAATCTGAAGTAAACTCAGTCCTATCTGCTACACCTAGGAGGAACACAAAAACATATTCCAAAAACAATTCCATGTTTTAAAGAAATCACAAGCACTCAGAATTCTCCTCACATGACTCCATTCTTGGACCATGTCCCAACACATAATGTATATAAGAAACACCTATGTACCTTAAATATATGCCTTTTATTTTTCAGTTATCCTACAATAAATCTTGGAAAAGATTCCCAAAGTTAAAAATAAAAAATAATTAGCATTGGTTATCTCTGAGAACTGAGGTAGGCGGTCTTAATTATTTCCTCCCTTTTGTCCTATTTTGTTTTATAAATTGCCTGTTATTTTAATATTTAATATAAAACTTCAGGCTTGAGGTGTAGTTCAAAAGTGTGTGCCTACATAGTATTCCTGAGATCCTAAGCACAATCTCCAGCACTACTGAAAATACATAAGAAAATCAGTATAAAATTAAGTAAGGCCTGGAGAGATGGCTCAGCAGTTAAGAGCACTGGCTGCTCTTCCAGAAGACCTGGCTCAGTGGTTAAAGGCAGTCATGGTTCTTGCAGATGACCCAGGTTCAATTCCCATCACTTCCATGGTAGTTTAGAGTCACCTGTAACTCCAGCTCCAGGAAATCCAACATCCTTTTATGGCCTCTCTGGATACCAGTTAAACACATGGTACACGCATATATATGCAGACAAAACACCCATACCCATAAAACAAAAAGTAAGTCTTTTAAAAAGAAAAAAGAAACATTTCTAGTAAGAGTTCAATGGTTCTGATTTATTCCTCAGCACTTAAAAAGGAAAAACAAAACTACTGAAATGTCTATTTCTGGTCACACACTCCATATCCCAACTCTGACTCCTTCAAATGGGCTGCTTTTCTGAATATCTGCTTCATTTTTTAAGTTTTAAAAAAAGCAAAACAAAACCAAGAAGTCAATTTTATATCAAAGAATAGTACACACAGAGCACAACTGAAATAAGTAACGATAACTGTAAACTCATAAAAATCTGTATTAAATATGATTTTACTAAGCTCCAAAAGTCTAGAAAACAACTTTCATTGGAAGAGTTCTTTACAAGCACGGGTAAGTGTTCTTTCATGCTTACATCCTCTCCCCCAAGCTTTTATCTCTTCCATCCCACCGAAACAGCTGTTTTAGCATCACCAGCGACCTCCACGTTGGTACATTCAATGACTGTGTTGCGACCTTCATCTTACTTGTCCTGTTTCCAGCATCTGAGCTACTGATGGGCTGGCTCATCACGGGTCTCTAGGAAACACCTGCTTCATCTGACCTTCGGGCCTCACTCCTGGTTTCCTCCTCAGACAGCTCCAGCTCAGTCCTCTGCTGTTCCTCTTTCAACCACTGGGGCAACTGAGTTCTCCTGACTGTGTGTGAGTGCACTTCCTGGAACACCTCATCCAACTGAGTGGCTTTAAACTCCATGCCTACACCACCTCCTCCATCTCCAGCTCTAGCCCTGGACTCTTTTTATATAACCCTAATGGGCATTGCACATTTCATATCTCCAAAGTGTGGTGATACTTTATTTGTGCTGAAATGTGGTGATATTTTATTTGTATGTTAATAAATAAAGTTTGCCTGGAGATCAGAGGAAATAGCAAGCCATTTTAAGTAACACAAAAGTCAGGCGGTGGTAGCACATGCCCTTAATCCAATCACTTGGCAGGCAGGGTCTCTGTGTGTTCAAGGCCACAGTAGGGAACAGAACCACATGTAGTGAGTGACACACACCTTTAATCCAAGTACTAACCATAGAGACCTGGAAGTCTGTACAGACAGGCAGTGACAAGGAAGTGAGGTAGCTGGGCTAAGAGCCAATGAGAGGGCAGAATAGCAAGGCAATAAAGGCGCAGTTAGACAGGAAGTAGCACACTTTGGAAGCTGCGGCGTGGTGAGGTAAGGTTAGCTGGTGGCCATTCCCTGATCTCTAAGGCTTTCATCTCTATATTTGGCTCCTATTTTATTTAATAAGACTGCTTAGAAATTCGTTTACACCAAAGCTAACTCTTGGCCTTCCCCTTCACTGAAGCACTCTGATGGCACCTTTCATCTCTTGACTTCCACTGGACTCCTCCAGTTGCTTGGGGAAACCCTTGGAGTTATCCTTAGCTCTCCTTACACCACATATGATCTACTGACAAATCTTGGCAATTCCACTTGCAAAATACAGTGGATTCCACATGGTTAGCTCACTGTGGTGAAATCTGCAGTATAGTTTCACCATGCAGTCAGAGGCTCCTCCTGGAGGTCAGGTCATGCTCCACCTCTGCCTCACTATTCTCCACTGGACTCTCAGCTAAAAGGAAATGCTCTCAACCTCACAGCAGCCTATGTATGGCCTGACCCTTGGCTCCTGCTCATCCCTATCTCCTTATGCCTCTTCTCACTCTGGCCACTGGCCTCCTTGCTTGTCCTTGAATATTCCACACACATTCTTAGGCAAAGGCGTTGCTGTTGCTTTTCCTAGGATCTCTCATGCCATGGTTTGGAAATGCAGTCCCTCCTGTGAGCTACTAGGAATGGGAACTTAACCTACTGTGCTTACAGCTGGGGCCTTTGGAAGGTATTTAGGATAAGGTCATCAAGATGAAGCTCCCACTGAATCCTAGTGGCTTCCTGAGAGGCCAAGTATGAACACATACACAAAACACACATGCACATACACAAAGCACACAATCATGCTCATTGCCTCTTTCGATATTATGCCTGATTCAAGCTCAGCACACTAGACAAAATCATCAGCCCTGAACCTCCAGAACTGTGAGCCAATATAAGCTTTCTAACCACCCCCTGTAGGCTATTTTCCATTTTGTGTCTGAGATGATAGAGTGCATGTGTATGCGTGGGTATGCATATGCGCATGTCTATGTGCCAAAGGTCACCACGGGTGTCTTGGTCACCGCCTGCACTGTTCCCTGGAGACCCTGGAACTTGGGGCTTTGAGGCTAGGCTGGGCCGACAAACCAGTGATGCTCTTGCTGTCCCTCTGCGCTGCCCTCTCCCACTGAGCCACCTCCATTGCCTACTGTCTTTAGTTCAGCCTTCCCTTTGTTGTTACTGCATCAGACGTGGTCTCATGTTGGCCAGGCTGGTCTTAAATGACGAATCCTACCACCTCAGCTTTTCAAGTAACTGGTGCTGTATCATATGCCAACATACAAGGCATCCTAGTTTCACCAAGAGCAATTCCCAGCACTTAAAAAAGTTGAGTATTTGCCAGAATGAATAACCTCAGTCCAAGTAAATGTATTGGGTACTAAAGGGGATAAAAATTAATGTTAATGTCTAATATCTGGTTGGAAGTTAACTGGATATATTAGTAATTAAATTTAACTTACAAAATAACCAATTAAGCTATGCCAAATCTATAATAGCCAATAGTCATGAAAGGTAATATTCCCTCTAAAAGCTCAAGTCATATTTTGCAAAGCTACTTACTAGATATTGACTATTCATTAATTTAATAATACTTACTTGACAGCTAATACGCTAGGCATACAGGGAGCTTAGTTAATTTAGTTTACATAGTCAAAACTTAGGAAAGGAATAGCATTTACCATATTGTTTTTATGGTAATGGAAATGAAACCCAGGGCCTTATATATGTAAGGCAAGCTCTGCCATGGGCTCCATCTCAACAGAGCTGATCTCATAACCTTTTCCTCCAGAGAAGCCTGAGTGCTTGACACCAACCCTCACCACAAGACTCTAATGAAGGTACACATGGAACTGCAAGGCCATGATGGGGAGAATGGCAGGGGCTGTGGTGATACATTGTGTACCCTAATAAAATCTGCCTGAAAATCAGAGAACAGAACAAGCCACTAGATTAAACATAGAGGCCAGGCAGTGGTGGCACACACCTTTAATCTTAGCACTTGGAAGGCAGAGATCCATCTGGATCTCTGTGAGTTCAAAGCCACCCTGAACTACATGAGATTGACTCAGTCTAGGAGAGAAACAGAGCCAGGCAGTGGTGGCTTTAATCCCAATACTTGGGAGTCACACGCCTTTAATCCCAGCACTAAGAAGGAAGTGATGGCAGGGCGGAGAAAGGTATATAAGGCATGAGGAGACAGGAACTAGGGTTTTTCAGGCTGAGGAGTCCTAGAGGTAAGATGTGGCAGTGGCTTGTTCCTTTGTCTCTCTGATCTTTCAGCATTACCATAATATCTGGCTCCGAGTTTTATATTATAAGACCTTTTAGGATTTGAGCAACAAGGGGCAACTGGGTCAGGCAGGAGGTAAGGAACATCAGGGGGACAGAGGGAGACTAGAAAGACAGACAAGGGAGATGCAAAGAGAACAACACAGCTTCTAAGAGACAACCCAGGGTGTGGTGCTGGGGATGTCCTCTGTACGCTGTGAATGGGCTGCTCTGATTGACAAGTAAAACACTGATTGGCCAGTAGCCAGGCAGGAAGTATAGGCGGGATAAAGAGAGAGGAGAATTCTGGGAAGGGGAGGCTGAGTCAGGAGATGCTGCCAGCTGCCACCACCATGAGAAATAAGATGTAAAAGTACAGGTAAGTCACATGGCAACTTACGGATTAATAGAAATGGGTTAATTTAAGATATAAGAACTAGATAGCAAGAAGCCTGCCACAGCCATACAGTTTATAAGTAATATAAGTCTCTGTGTGTTTACTTGGGCCTGAGTGGCTGCAAGAGCCGGGTGGACAGCTACATTGTGGTGATACTGTCTGTGATATCAGCATTTGGGGGTGGAGTCAAGAGGACTGTAAATTGCAGCAAACTCAGGCTGCATAACAAGACTCTTTCAAAAAAGTGAAGAACAGGGCTGGTGAGACAGCTCAGCAGGTAAAGGTACCTGCCAACCAATAACCTGGATTCAATCCTTAGAACCTACACAGTGGGAAGAGAAAAGACTTCACAAGCCATTCTCTGACCTCCAGATGTGAGCCATGGGGAACACACACACACACACACACACACACACACACACACAAGCTGTTCTCCGACCTCCAGATTTGAGCCATGGGAAACACACACACACATACAACCCAGAACTCACCTTGGTTCCTGGCTAGCCAGTGTAGCCCCTGTGACATGAACTAGCTTTTGTTCTCCAACCTTAAATTATCAATTTATCCCACCTTAAGAAACTACCCTTTACCCAGGTAATAAGTCTGAGTAGTTTTCTTCCTGTATCTTTAAACAGACTCAACTTCACTTTATGTATCCCAAAGGAAAATATTTCAAAAAAGGACTTTATTTGTTTGTAAAGGCATGAATAAAAATCTTCACACACTAAGGGAGTTACAGTTGTACAAGTGTGCTCAGTCACAGTTTTGGCAGACTGACTTCCATGTGCTCACAGTTCCACCATTCTCTTCCTCAAAGTGATCGTGCTCTAAACACACCCCACTGGTGAGTTAGGCCCGGACCCAGAACGGGAAAACACTGGTGATGACATCACTCAACCAAGAGTCCCCAAGATGACGATGAGACGTCTGTTCATATCGACCAGGGACACCAACATACCATCTCCTTGGCAGAGAGCTGAACCTGAATTTGAAAGAAAAAAGTCTAGGCAGTCACACAATATAAAAAGAAGAAGAAATTTCGTGTGTGTGTGTGTGTGTGTGTGTGTGTGTGTGTGTGTGTGTCAGAGACAACTAGTAGGAGTCGGCCCTCTCCTTCCACCCTGGGGACTGAACTCCCGTCATCATCAGGCCTTTGCCTTCTGAAGCATTTTTTTTTAAAAAGACTTATTTCTTTATTATATACACAGTGTTCCTCCTGCAGGCCAGAAGAGGGCACCAGATCACATTACACATAGTTGTGAGCCACCATGTGGGTGCTGGGAATTGAACTCAGGACCTCTGGAAGAGCAGGAGGGCTCTTAACCTCTGAGCCATCTCTCTAGCCCCCCTCTAGAGCATCTTGTCAGCCCCTAAATCTTATTTGCATACTGAATGCAAAAAATAAAAATATGCTAATATAAACATAATAGTAACTTTAAAAATTAAGGAATGCTAGTATTGATCTGTTCTACTAGAATTTAAAACATACTACAAATTATCAAATCATGTGTTAAGCTTTTCATTAAAAAGTAGTGACTGGGGGGCTGGAGAGATGGCTCAGAGGTTAAGAGCACCGACTGCTCTTCCAGAGGTCCTGAGTTCAATTCCCAGCAACCACATGGTGGCTCACAACCATCTGTAATGAGATCTGGCGCCCTCTTTTGTATACATAATAAATAAATAAATCTTTAAAAAAAAAAAAAAAGTAGTGACTGCTACAGTCTAATGAGTATTTTTTCAATACAGTAAAACTAAAAATTAGCCACTCAGAAGTATAATTTTAGGTGTCTCTAGAGTTAAAAAGGGAACTAAAAATATAATATTAGGTCCTCTAGAAAGTTACAAGAAGAACTCTATATAAACAGCCACCATTCCGGGGCCATGCCTGTCGGCTTCCTGCCATGATGATCACAGACTAACCCTCTAAAACAGTGAGCAAGCCCCCAGGTCAACGCTTTCTTTATAGGAGTTACCTTGGTCATGGTGTCCCTTCACAGCACCAGAACAGTGACTAAGACAAGAGATGATGCAGTGTATTGCACACTGCATCGTTTATCCAAGTGTGTGTGGGGGTCCTGGAGAGATGGCTTAGTGGTTACTAGCACTTACTGTTCTTGTTAGAAGACCCAGGCAACTTATAACCACCTATATATAACTCCAGGTTCATGGGATCCAGTGCCCTCTTCTAGCCTTGAGGGCATCAGGCATGCACATAGTACATAAACACACATGTAGGCAAAACCTCCAGGCACACAAAACAGTTTAACTTAAAATGCACGTGGGACTGGTGATACGGCTGGCGCAGTGGCAGAATGTTTGCTCCCTGCATGGGGGAGGCCCCAGGTTCAATCCCTAGTGCCCCCCAAACCCCCCAAAGCAGCAAGCCTGACTGGCCAGTGGCCAATGGCACTGCAATTATCCTCACACCCTAAACCAGATTCTAAACCAGGTGTGATACGGCGTATCCATAATCCTCGCACTCTGAGACCAAGGCAGGACAACATGGAGTTGAAGGCCAGGCTCAGAATCTTTTCTCATAAAGCATGTTTTGCCCACATAACCAAACCAACCACCAATCAGATATTTGGGAGATGACACTTTGACATCATGAAAATTCGATTAAGTGGGGATAGTTCAATATTTAATCTAATTTTTGGCAGTCTTTAGTGGGGCTGGGGAGAGGGCTCAGCAGTTAAGAGCACTTGCTACTCTTCTACAGGACCTTAGGTGAGTTCCCGGCACCATGTCACGGAGCTGACAACTACATGCAACTCAAGCTCCAGGGGATTCAACATTATCCTCTGGCTACACACACACACACACACACACACACACACACACACACACACACACACGCGCGCACGTGCACGTGCACACGCACGCGTACACGCACACTTTTAAAAAATAAAATGTCTTCAGTATAGTTTTATATAAACTTTTTGACATTTCAACTTTTAAATGTTCAAAACACTCATTTTCCACAAACTATGAAAGTTATGCAAAGGTAAGATTAGTTCTTACAATAACAGACTTACTGTTTAATTTGTATGTGAGCGCTTTCCTTCTTTCTTATTTTGTCTGAAACCCTGTAAAGAGAGCAAATGAAAAGTTAAAAGAACAGGACACACACTAGATAAATGTGAATCAACAGTTCAAGCCAAGCATGATAGCAAGCGTGGGTGGGGCAGGGTGGGGGGTTGGGGTGGGTACAAGAAAGGAGATCAGCAGTCCAAGGCCGTCTTCAGTTTCACAGGAGTCTAAAGCCAGCATGGGCTGCAGTAAACCCTGCCTCCTGCTGGGGGTGGTAACCCATGCCTTTAATGCCAGCACTCAGAAGACAGAGGCAGGGGGATCTCTGTGAGTTCAAAGCTAATCTGGTCTGCTTAAAAAACAAAACAAAACAAAACAAAACAAAACAAAAAGCCCTCGAGCCCAACTTAGCGACGCACACTTGACAAGACCAGCGTTTAGGAGACGGGCAAGAGGATGTTGACTTCAGGGCAGCCGGGCCAGTGCAGGTCTAAACTACACGGTAAGACCCTGCCACAAAGCCAGGAGACTGAGGACACAGCCGGGGCTGCAGCATCTGCCTGACATGCAAGGCTCTGGGTCTGCTCCCCAGCACTAAAGAACAACCAAATAAGTAGTCTGTTTCATGTGATATATCGTACTAATTTTATTTAATAAAATGCCATCAGAAAATAAGTGTGCATTTTAAAAAGCAGTCTACAGCATTCCGATATGCTTTAAGGTGACTGAGCCACGCTGGGCACGGTGGCACCCCTGTACCCAGCACCTGGGAAGTTAAGGCAGGAAGATTGCTGCAGTTTGGAGGGCGGCCTGGGCTATGGTGATTCAGAGAAACCTGGGCTACAGAGTGGGACCCTGCACCCCTGCAAACAAACAAACAAACAAACAAATAAACCAACCCCGAACAACAGAAACAAAGTGACAATCACAAAGTAAAATACTAAGCTGGAGTTCACTTTTTCTTCCCTCACTGCCAGTGAATCTCCTGACCAATGACGTGACCTCACTCACTCACTCACTCAAGCGGAGGGTGTAGCTCAGGGGACAGCACTCACCTCAGGTCCTACAGTCTGTAACCCCGCCCCCCACAAACAAAGGAACAAACCAAAGAACTCACTAAAGAGAAAGTGCTAGAGTTTAAGAGAAAACTAAGTCCTCAAAGATTGACTGTTGTCCTGGTCAGACTGGCCCCAGTGCCCTTCCTTCCCACTTAAATGCCGTCTACAATTATCCATGTGTGTCTGAATTGACATCCAAACAGCCATGAGATGTAGCGGAATGGTTTGTTTCCCAGGAAGCCCACAGAGCCCATTAACATTCTAGGGACAAAGGTCGTACAACTGCAAAGAGCATGCACATCAAGAGATTCCCAGGGAATCCTTACCATGTAATAGCCAGTATGGTAGCCACTCATGTACCATGAGATCAACATACTTCCCAGGGCATCAGTGTCATCCAGACAATCTGGAGATATGGGAGGGGGTGGAGGGATTATCTAGAAATGGAAAAATACAATTAGGAAAATATTGAAATCCAGGGATTCATTTTATATAGATACTAGTAGATATTAATTGTACCCATTCCTATACCCCATGAGATGACTTCTATTTAATTTTTAAGAAAATCTAGCACTGGAAGAAAGCAAGCCATAATAATAAAAGATCAACAAACTTAACAAAGAGCAGAAATAGTTCACATTTAATAATTAATATGGTTAGACTATTTTTGTTCCACTATGAAGCTATACATGAGACAAAACATAAGAGACTTAGTTTTTCACAAACGACACACACACACACACACACACACACACAGCATTTTTAAGGTCACTGTAAAGAACGATTTGAGGTAAGACATCTGCCCAAATCCCACCCAAATACAGTCTGCCCAAAAGCATCCTTTTAACCACTATTAGTATCTAAAAAAAATCTACCATTAAAAGTCCATTAAAGGGGTTGGGGATTTAGCTCAGTGGCAGAGCGTTTGTCTAGAAGCACATGGCCCTGGCTTCGGTCCTCTGCTCCGAAAACAAAACAAAACAAAACAAAACAAAACAAAACACCAAATAAACAACAACAACAACAAAAAAAACCTTTCCATTAGGGCCAGTTGGTGGTGATGCATGTCTTTAATTCTAGCACTAGGGAGGCAGAGGCAAGCAGATCTCTGCTAGTTCAAGGCAGGTTCCAGGACAGCCTGGGCTATTACACTGAGAAACTATATCTCAAAAAACAAACAAACAAACAAACAAACAAACAAAAAACAAAACACCAAAAAACAAAACAAAAAAAAATCCCAAAAACCACAAAGACAAAAACCAAAACCAAGGGGGGAAAAACGCCATTAGGATAAAAACAAAACAAAACAAAAACAACAACAACAACAACAAAATAAGCACAGGGCAATGATAAATGGTAGGACCAGAAGCTAGCATCCAGGTACTCCAGGAGGGCACACAATCTCTTCTGTATCATGAAGCACAGTCCTTTCTAACAGAAGCCACCACCTCAGATTGGATACCAACTACTGCAGGAAAGAAACACAACTGAGCATGGAGACGAGACAGGGAAAACACTGGCTCTGGGTGACAGAAGGGTCTTCAGAACAAAAATCTGAGGTGTCAATTTTTACCTGTTAGAATCTACCCTTAACTACTCCGATTTCCTGAATCTGCGGACTTCCAAACTGTCTGTAAAAGCTGTGCATGTCTTCTGTACTTACTGGTGGTCCTGAAGGGAACGGAGGCATCCAACATGGCAGGAAGGGGGGAGGAGGAGGTGGCGGTGGGCCATTGAATCTCAGGCCTGGCTATAAAGAATATTTCAAAGGAAATTAATATTTTAAAGGAAAATTTCTTCCTTCACTGAAAGGAAGAGTATTCAAAACCAAAGTAATAAAAATAGGACATGGAGAGATGGTACAGCAGTTAAAATCACCTGTATTCACACACACACACACAAACCCACACACAGACATGCACACATACATACACATAATTAAAAAGAAAGTAACTCTTAACTAAATGGTAGCCTCTAGGTATTTTCCATTTCTTTTCTCTAAACATTTAGTAAGTGAAGTCACAGTAAAGATCTGTAACTGCCTAACAAATCAGAGACAAGTATTTACCAAGATGATTTAATCCCCACTATCACATCATCTTTTTGCAGCCATCCTATTAGTAGGTCCACAAAATGGCTCAGCAGATCAAAGGTGCTCCCCACCCAGTCTGACAGCCTGAGTCTGACTCCCAGGACCCACCTGGAGGGAGAGAACCAACTCCCACAAGTTGTCCTCTAACCTCCACATGTACACAGCACCCACCCAAATAAATAAATAGAAAAAAAGGGAGGGGGGCTGGAGAGATGGCTCAGCAGTTATGAGCACTGACTGCTCTTCCAGAGGACCCAGGTTTATTTCCCAGCACCCACATGGCAGCTCACAACTGTCTATAACTCCAATTCCAGGGGACCTGACACCTCACACAGACACACAGACAGACAAAACACCAGTGCACATTAAATAAATATAGATAGATAGATAGATGGGTAATTTTTAAAAAGCTGTTTAAAAAAAAGTTCTGGAGGTCTACTTATATAAGCTAATTTAAAGTACATTGTGTATACCCAAAAGACAAGGTATATATTAAGATTCAAGAAACTCTACTACAAAATAACCTTCAATTAGAAAATTACCATAGAAAATCTTTTGTTGTTTTTTACATTTTCTAAAACAATTTATTTCGCTGTGTGTGCGTGCACGAGTGAGCACGTGCCATGGTGTTCACATGGAACTTGATGACCTTTGCAACCAGCTTCTCCCCTTCCACCAAGAGGCTCCAGGGAGTCGAGCTCAGGTTAGCAGGCCTGCAGCAGATGCCGTCACTCACTCAACTGCTCTCTGTCCCTTGTTTTCATTTTGGGCTCTAATTTTGTCTTGTCTTTCCTTCTTTTCTTTAAATCTGCATCACTACATAGCCCAGGCTGGTTCCAAACTCAGTAATCCTCTCCTCCAGCCTCTCCAGTGCTGAGAGCTGACAGGCAGGTCACTATGCTCATCTCTCAGAGAATCTTAAGGAAAGTGTTGAGTCATATGTGATTTTTAAAAATTATTATCTAGGGGTAGAGAGACGTTCAGTTGGGAGAGGACATGCCCCACAAACATGAAGATCTGAGTGTGGGCCCTCAGCACCAACAGGGCAAAACCAGACAAGGCAGCACACATCTAGAATCCCAGCACTGGGGAGGCAGAGACAGGATCCCTGCGGCTCTGTGGCAGCCATTCTGCTGAATCAGCAAGTGCCAAGCTCACTGACATACTCTGTCCTGGAAAAAGGGTGAAGAGTGATTGAGAAAGATGCTCAGTGTAGAGTTCTGGCCACCGCATGCACAAGTCAACACACATAACATGCACACATACAAACACCTAAGAACACACACACATGAATTATTTAAATAGCATACTCTCTGAGGAAAAATACAGCTGCTTGGTACCAAAGAACTAGCTAGTGAAGGTTCTAGCCATAACCTAGGCTATAATAAAATTCTTTTTAAAGTGGACTTTTACTATTTACAACCAAAACAGCCATAAAAGTGTTAACATTTTAACACTACAGTATCATCTGGGACAAACCAGATGTAGTGGCTGGCACATGCCTATGATCTCACAGCATTTAGCAGGTGGAGGCACATGGATCTAACATTTAAGGTCATCTTCAGCTTCATGAGACCAGGTATCAAAACAATAACAACAGCAGCAACAACAATAACCAAACAAAATCCCAGAAAACAAAACAAGAACAAACAACAACCAACACTGGGAGCTGCCTGAGATCGTGCCCACATTACAGGACTCTTCTCCCACATATCTATTACAGGTGACTCCGAACAACAGCCATCAGGCAACGACAGAGCAGTCAGTTTCTACCTTAGGAAAGTACACCAGGGCTGGGAGATGCTCAGGAACAGAAGGGGCTTGCTGCCAGGGCTGATGAGCCCAGTTCTACCCCAGGACCCACATGGCGGAAGGTGAGAGAGAGCCTATACCTGCAAGTTGACTTCCGACTTCCACAGTAGCATGTGTGCAAATACACACACACACACACACACACACACACACACACACACACACTACACAAATGTGATAACAAGGTTTTTAAAAAGGAAAGTGTACTAGTTATTAGTCTACTACCCCCTGGAGAGCTAATAACCCCCAACTCTTTACTTCACTCTTGCATTTCCTTTTTATGAATTCTGGCCTGGGAAGAGTACAATTTCATGGGAAAGCTATAAATTACTTAAAAGAAGAGCAAGGGTCCCAGTGGAAATTACTTCCTTCATAACTAATTTTCTGAACAGAACGCTTACCTTTCCTGGTCCCAATCCTGACCCTGGCATTGGGGGTGGTGGAGGGAGAAACG